GAATTAAGCTTTACAAGAATTATAGTGACACAAGAATTACTCACATACTCAATAGCGTCATATGCATGAAATGTTGGAGACTGTCTGCTATCATTACAGAATTTGTATTTACAAATGTATATTTTGTCATCAGTCGTCAACATAAAATATACATATGAATGCATACATAAATACCAAACAAGAGGACACAAGACAAATTCACCCAAAGTACTGCCACATTTTGATAATAGCGGGTTTATGCATGTATTATAATCATATTGATTTAATTACACCATAAAACTTGTAAACAATGTATTTATTGTAATTATGATACATGTTTATACATACCAAATACTTCACAATTTGTTCCTGTATATCCAGTATCACATGTGCAGAAATATGCTACAGTTCCAACATCAGTACAGAAGCCATTCTGGCAAGGATTACTACTGCATGGAACTGAAACTACAAAAATAACCAGAAATAATTGACTAAAACAACCATGTATGAAAACAACTACTCTGTGTCCTAGGGGTGGTAATGATAAGCACTCTCTTTGTTCAACACAATCGTTTTCATGATGAGTGCTACTTCATCGTCAATTTTAAAAGCACTATTTTTGTTTAGTGGCAAGCCCCAGCAATTAAATCATGGTCCTTTAGATCAAGTGCTTGAGTGCATGGTCACTGTATTGACTGAGCTGCTGATTTGTAATCATTTGAGTGTAATTGTCAACTTTTGCCACCATCTACAAAATGATTTTGTCTAAAACCAAAACATGTCTGTTTGCAATATATTTTGGCAATGAGATGCAATTAATAGTGACTGTGTCGTTTAAGTCAGATAACCGCCTAGGTACTCTCAAGGTTTCTGACATAGAATCACTTTGTCATCAGTGATTTTAAGCCAGAAAAGTTTTGACAAATTTATTATAAAATAGTATGGGAACCCTGGTATAAAGATTATGATAGTGCAAATTATCAAATATCTCGATTTAATTAAAAAAGCTTCTTCACTGTTTATCTGTTGTTTCTATTAAGAATGCTGAAAATCAAGGAAGGCTTGAGAAGAACTCCTGTGTGCTAAGGGTATTGGAGAAATGAAGTACAAATAAGGAATTTTGTATTTACTATATTAGAAGCACATCTCCAATTCACATAAAGCAGAAATTCTGTTCATTACATGCAAAATCATTGAAGTATGTCTTATTTTGACCACAGACTTCCCTTTGTGAGAGATATTACATTTTAATGCATATTAGTGAGGTCACATGATCATACATGGACATGTGGTATGTTAGTCATATCTTTTGTCAAATGCCTTTATTATAGCACTGGTTGCATGTAATTAGCTGCAACAGTGCTTAATATATTACAGTTATGCATATTAATGAGGTCACATGACCATATATGGTCATTTGATATGTTAGTCACATCTCTTGTCAAATGCACCATCATAGTACTAGTTGAATGTCCTTAACTGAAACAGTGCTTAAGATATTAGACTTATGCATATTAATGAGGTCACATAAACCTATTTATACAAGGTGGTAATTAATACACATGGAGTTCTACCCTTAAGTAATCAGATTTGAGGATTATCCGAAAGCATCTATATACCAAGTTTCATTGACATTTGAGGAGTGGTACTCAAGATATCAGTAGAACACCTATATATTAGTCAATTTATGCAAATTAGGTAATTCGTAAGCGCATATTTTAACTCTGAACTATACATGTATATAGCTTAAAACACCTATGTACCTAGTGTCATTGAAATCTGATGTTGACATATAGATGAAAAGCTAAAACTTGGCTAATAATATGGATCAATCAGATAAAAACTTTGACCAAAAAGGGTAAAATTTAAGCAGTTTTGATGATAATTCAGTTTTCTGAATATAAATTTAATCATATGACACATCTTGAAAATCAACTGTGCCCAAATCTTTAAAAAAAAAATGCAACTCATCACTCACAAAATGTTAGTGAACAAACAAACAAAATGTCCAGCAGTTGAAAAGGTATAACATTTCAACTCAATTTTCTGTTGTCAATAACAGTCCAGATATCCTGGGCTGATCAAACAAGAACTGGTTAAATGTTTATATCTCCAATAGTTATTAAATATGTTGATCCGATTTAGTGACCAATGTCTTCAATAAAGCAATTGTTATATGTCTCTACCTGCAAGTGTTTCAGATATAATATTTATGCATATTAATGAAGTCACATGACCACATATGAACATTATAAATATGTTGATCAGGTCTATTGTGCAATTACTTAATGAAGCATGTGTTGAATGACTATCTGCAATAGCGCACATGGCCATATACATGTATGGTCATTAAAAACGTTGATGAGATATATTGTGGAATGTCTTCAATATAATACCTTCAATATAATACTGTGTACATGTCTTTATCAGCAATAGTGCTCCTTACATGCCATACGGATGGACGCTGGTATATCCACCACTCACACTTCATGCCAGGGCATAATAACTATTCTTAGACACACTTGTATCTTATAAGTTTGTAGACCAAAGCTATGACAATTAATACAGGACCATTACAATGCATCTATGTACTGTTTGTACTTACGCAAAATTTCACAGTTTGTTCCTGTATATCCAGTATCACATGTGCAGTAATATGCTACAGTTCCAACATCAGTACAGAAGCCATTCTGGCAAGGATTGCTACTACATGGCATCGAAACTATAAAAATAACAGAGACAAAATTCCTATATTTAGGTTAAATTGTTTCTTATAATTTCTTACATAAACACATTAAACAACACAACAATACAGTACGTTCAGCCACTAGGAGATCGATGTTAATGACATGAAATCACTCATGGTAAATAATAGACCATTTTCCCATTCACTTCGAGATCCCGTGTTATGCGTGAAATCAAACGTAAAAAGAGGATAAACAAAGGTCATAGCGTCGTAGTGAGGACAAATATTGCATGGGATTCGACAGATGGGAATTAAGTATTTTGGGGGTATTTCCACGCTTAATAATGTGCTGTACACATTTGATGATGGTCAATTTCGATGAAGTAAGGGTATCTAAATGCAATATTCCCCTGTCAAAGATTGGCCTTTCGACTTTGAGCTATGAAAAAGAGAAATTCAAGTTCAAATCAAATCGTTTGATTTTTGTGACAGATGTTTGGCGTGCATCTTTCACGCAACTCGCATGATCTCACAGTTGAACGGGAAATCGCCTATTAGAAACAGTAGATGAAGGTCAAAATGAATCGAGTGTAACATTGCCATATATGTAGTTTCTAAAAAGTTACAATCATTTATTATTAGAATTGCAAAAATATTGCCTAACTGTGGCGCATATCATTAGTTATTAATGCTAAGTTATTATGAAAATACTGCAGAATATGCAAAAAGGCTGTATGGTGGGTTTTTTTGATGATGTGTAGTGGGGTGTTGATGCGACCTCATACTGCCCGAGTGCATACTTTGCGGTATTCTCATGATAATTTCATTATTATACATCTTTTCTCTGCTAATCTCATAATTTAGTGAAATACATCAGCCCAAAATATTAGCGGATGATTGTTTGCATCAGTGACATGATTTTGTTTTTGTCACATTCTACAAGGTTGCTGCATTCAATGTAAACAATAAAAAGTGTTAATGTGATGTAAATATGGTGCACATTTTCCAAATAAGAAAAAACACTCGAACATGTTGTAATACTTTTTGAGCTCGTCCATATAGATGGATACACATTCTATTGTTCTTGTAGCCAGATGTATACGTCTAATACTTACCAAATACTTCACAATTTGTTCCTGTATATCCAGTATCACATGTGCAGAAATATGCTACAGTTCCAAGATCAGTACAGAAGCCATTCTGACAAGGATTGCTAGTACATGGCATTGAAACTACAAAAATAAAAACATATAAAATAATTATTATACAACAATTGCACTGACATCTTTCCACCAGCTTAAGTAATGCCTAGCAACGGCATAAAAGCAGATATAGATTATAACACTTACCAAGTATTTCACAGTTTGTTCCAGTATACCCATCATCACATGTGCAGAAATAAGCTACAGTTCCAGCATCATTACAGAAGCCATTCTGACAAGGATTGCTAGTACATGGAGTTGAAACTGTAACAAACACAGAAAAACAGGTTAAGATTCATTAATATTAAAAACAATGGCAATAATTAACTTCAATTGATACAACAACCAAGAAAATTTACAAGGGTTAATGACTGAGTGGGTGACAATCTTTTTGTGTCTAACAAAATGGAAAATATATAATTTAAGCCACTCTGGTCTAAACTTGTGGAAAAGTGCAGCTGTTCACCACCCACATAAAACACACCTTGACTCAAGTATTCACCTTTCTGTTTTTCGCAAATTTTAACAAATTCATAATTTGTACACCTAATGTTAAAATAATAAGTATTTTCTTTAGCAAAAGATTATTTTAATTATGCAAAATAACAATCTTAGTAATCTTGTTTAGAATTTGTTTAGAGTTTTTGTTTGTTTGTATTTTACAGTTGTTAACTAGAATTGAACCATGGTCGTGACGTCACACTATTGTATTATCTAGGAAAATATCCACCAACTAAGGTAAGAAAACATAGTGTTCTCGAACTACCCAAAATTCCTTTATTGTGGAATCGTCCATTTCGGTAAAACTGGTACAATTTTAAAAATAAGCAGGAATAAGCAGGAATAAATCTTAAATATATTAAAACTTGTATCTTAATGTGTATTACAATGTTCTGAGTTGCAACTGAAACTGTGACAATATTTCTAGTAATATCCTGGTTTAAAACAAAGAAGCACCTTTCTGTGAAGTTTCTGTCTTCAGAATAACAATTTTAAGCCAGAAACTCCTTGGTGTTAATGGTTCTCCATTACATAGTCTGGGAGACATTGAAATATTTCAATATTAACTGTCAGCTATGCCTTCAAGAAATCGAGGATAAGTACAGTACAGCTCAATTTAATTCCCAAACCTGTTTTATCTTTTCATACAAACTTACATGTCTATATCATAGTTATAAATTATCCCAATATTCAGTATGTTACTGATATAACGGTAATAAATACTCTGGCACATTATTCTGCATAATTTAAATATAAGGTGGTTTTGAAAACTAGGTTTAAGCCTCTTTTACTTTTGATCTGCACTCAGTGATAGGATATTTTTTTTATCTCGCGCTGTCAGGCTTCTTTGGTCAATGTAAACAAAGAAAAAGTGTTTGAGTGTGACGGCCGTCCATAATCTTGAACACGTCAGTGACTGCGATGTAAATTACCCCAAATAAAAACAAAATGTTAAATTCAAACAAGCTTAAGTGCAGAGATGTTTTCTGTGCTGGATGTATAATAATAACACTTACTAAATACTTCACAATTTGTTCCTGTATATCCAGTATCACATGTGCAGAAATATGCTACAGTTCCAACATCATTACAGAAGCCATTCTGACAAGGATTGCTACTGCATGGCATTGAAACTACAAAAATAAAAACATAAATAATTATTATACAACAATTGCACTGACATCGTTCTTCCTGCTTAATTAAATGCCTAGCAACGGCATAAAAGCAGATATAGATTATAACACTTACCAAGTATTTCACAGTTTGTTCCAGTATACCCATCATCACATGTGCAGAAATATGCTACAGTTCCAGCATCATTACAGAAGCCATTCTGACAGGATTGCTACTGCATGGAGTTGAAACTGTAACAAACACAGAAA